GAAAATTTTATATTATTTTAAAAGTGAAAGGGGCATAACTCTGCCAAAAATTATCGAACCATGACCAAATTCGAACTTGACCTGTATTTTCTCATGACATATCCATATGTCAAATTTGAGTTGAATGTGTGCAACCGTTACTAAAAAATTTTGGCTGTATAAACTATAAAGCAAATGTGAAGAAATCTTTTTTTGGCATCCTCGAAAAACTTTATGGGCAAAAATGTTTAAATTTGTTTTTTACACCAGTGACCTTGACCCTAGGGATCCCTTACTTCGTAAAAAATTAAAATACCATTTAAGGTATCCATCCACCTTGAAATATGAAAGATATCATTAAATAAATGAAGTAATTTGAAGAAATTTAAGGCTGGAATAGGTTCACCATACAAGGCCCTATTTTCAAAGTGATAAAAAGGGAAATAACTGGGAAAAATTAATGGCACAGTTATATAACTTGGCATTAACTTGTACTTTGTATTGATAATTATTATAAGTGTGGTAATTATGCAGCTATATGTATAGATAGAACTTAAGAAATATCCAACTTCCCGTTTTAGGTTAAGTGCTGAAAAGGGCAATAACTAGGTAAAAATGGCAGTCATATTTATGTAACTTGCCCAGATCATGTACATTGAGTTGATAAGTAAGTGTGTAAAGAATGAAGCCATTGGTATCACACTTGCCATAGCTTTTGCAGAAGTGGTGGGTCAATCACAGCGGCGGTGGAGTATTTGTTGCATAAGTGGTGGATAAAATATGGTTGTTTGCTGTTGTTGGTATGTATATGACTGAATTTTGTTTTATGTTTTAATGTTTTACTGGCAATACTTAGTGAGACTGGAGCCCACATATGTACTCTTTCAACTTATTACACGCACATGGTGAAATTCATTGCCGTTTATGCAAACACTTCTGTACAGTTTGACGAGAGGACGCCACTTTTGCTTAATTTTGGTTAAAACAGTATAAATGTGTGCAAAACGATCCCATAATACAATGGCATCACATCGTATGAATTATACATTCACAAAATAACAATAGTTTGGAAATTTGGGAAATTATTATTGCCTGTTTATAAAATAAATGACAAAAAATGTTTTCAACAGAGAGCGGTGCATTCGATTGCAACACAGTGTGGTGGGCCCAATACCATTTATGTATATTTTGAGGGTTTGACTTGACGTAACACACTTTTCAATTTTCTTCCTTTGACATCTAAGAAACATGTTTATTTAATGTTTAAAACAATATTAATTATTACATATACGCTCGTACAAATAGATGTCCGAGTTCCCCTTCCATTTTCCTTCCAATAAAAATTCCTTTAGCCGTAATTATCATAGAATAATCCACATTCAACCTTGGACTTTAAAAGACGTAAGTTCCAGGTTCAACAATGTTTTGTCATACAGACATATAAAAGAGATACTCGTAAAGATAAACAGTTCATGTTTCTTGAATAGGAAAAAACAATCTCAGTTTTGAATGTCACTTTGATATTGTATTATCATATACTGAGAACACCAATTTATATAAATTGTATTTTTACAGTATAAGAGTTGTTTCAGGAAATGAAGAACACCAATTTATATAAATTGTATTTTTACAGTATAAGAGTTGTTTCAGGAAATGAAGAACACCAATTTATATAAATTGTATTCTAACAGTATAAGAGTTGTTTCAGGAAATGAAGAACACCTATTTATATAAATTGTATTCTAACAGTATAAGAGTTGTTTCAGGAAATGAAGAACACCAATTTATATAAATTGTATTCTAACAGTATAAGAGTTGTTTCAGGAAATGAAGAACACCAATTTATATAAATTGTATTCTAACAGTATAAGAGTTGTTTCAGGAAATGAAGAACACCAATTTATATAAATTGTATTCTAACAGTATAAGAGTTGTTTCAGGAAATGAAGAACACCAATTTATATAAATTGTATTTTAACAGTATAAGAGTTATTTCAGAAAATGTTTCTCTTTTACATATTACTTTTTGAAAAGACCTGAGTGTTATATGGCTTTAGTTTTTTCTTCTTTTTCTTAAATTGTGACATTTATCAAAGAAAAATGGTTTCAAATATGGTATATAAAATGATATAAAATGTATTGATATAAAATGTATAAAAAGTATAAAATGAAATTAAAAAAAAAAGGTAACAGAAATATTTTATGGAATTAAGTCTTTTTTTGGAAATGTACACAAATATAGTGAAAACAACAAACGAAAAAAAGGATTTTTTAGACGTATATTTCAGTTATCTGTCCTTGAAATAACCCATAAAAGGAAAAAATCAAATTCAAGTACAGAAAATGAGATTTGTGACCCCTAATTTTTTTTTCCGCTCGAAATTTTTATGTATATGTGTTTATAATACTGCACGTTTGTTATGTCACTTTTCATTAAATAATCTAGACGTTTATACAGTCAGGGCTCAATATATCGGAATCCATTATACTGACAAATTCAAATAACGACAGTGAATTGGTGGGAATCAAATTTTTTCAACGTTATTATAATCCTTTATAACGGAAAATTCGTATTCCGACTCCGACATAATAAAATTGGAAACCAAACATGTTATTTTCTATACAATCAGTACCCGTTAATCTGACACATGGTCAGTCAAACGCGCGTATAAAACAAAAGCCGCAAGGTGTTAAAACAGGAATTGTAGCTTGGTCAGTTGATTGTTTCACCTTATTACAATACCAACGTGTTGTTGTCAGCTGAATTTTGTTACATTTGCCAACTTCTGACAACAAACAGTGTGCAATCAATTTTTAAAGGTCCTATCATTGTATGTGCTTTTTATTTTATAAAGTTTTATCATTTTCATAAAAATCTATTTAAGTTGTTATTATTTTAATGAAGAAGTTGTATTATGTGTATGATTTGAATGTGTGTAATGAAGTGAACACATAAACACAAAAATCTTTTTCATTAAATGTTTATAATAGATCTAAATATATAATTTTCAGATACCAGTGAATGAGCATATCATTACATGATGAATGATGAAATTCACTATACTGACAAATTCGATATACTGACATATCCTTTGGGAACCAACAGTGTCGTTGTAATGAGTCCTGACTGTATACAATGTACTTTTATAGACATGGCTGCTGTAGATTTATGAAATTATCTCACTTTTTTCTAAAAAGAATGCTTGCTGTATTATGAATTCGTTATAAATAAATCCCACATGTTATATGATCATATATAAACAATTGTTTGCAATATTAATATAGCTATCAAAATTCTTTATAATACTTGTACCTGTATGTAACAATCAAAATATAAAGTTACAAATAAACCACATGACTGCTGTTTATTTAATAATTATATTCATATATTATATTTCCAAGCAACCGTTTATATATGGCTATATTGTATAGCCTGTCAAAATCTTTATAACTAATATGTTTCTCTCGAAAACGCCATGAACATGTGTTAACTTTATGTATGTTTGTTTGTTTTGGGTTTACCTCACATCGACACAGTTTAGGTCATATCGCGACATTCCAGCTTTACTGGTGGAGGAAGACCTCAGGTGCCTCTCCATTCATTATTTCAGGCACAAACGGGCACCTGAGTAGAACCACCGACGTTCCATAAGCTAGCTGGATAGCTTCCTCACATAAAAGAATCCAAAGTCCCTGTCGGGATTCGAACCGACAGCGGTGAGGGGCAAGTGGTTTGAAGTCAACGACCTTAACCACTCGACCACGGACGCCCCTAACTTTAAGAATGTATAATTCATATGACGTAACGCAAAAATATAGGCACGACCTTGCCATGCCGCTTTTAATAAGTCAGAAATTGGCATTAGTATATAGATGTAACACATGATCGATCATGTGCAACACATGAATGTCTGACACATGTGCAATTTTGTCTGGATTCATCACCTTTGTGGAATTCTCTGCACATCGCTAAATTTCCTTTCGGTTGTGCATCAAGGCCAAATATTATGACTCCTAGTTTCCACCATGTCCGCTACGGCAGAGCTGTCAGATGCAAGATCCTTGATATAAACTTGGAAATACAAATATAATGATAAAGGGCACTATACCGTATACGTTCTTAATTACTGCGCATTTAAACTGTAATGGTGCATTCACACATAAAAATACTTAATACTTAGTAATAACCTGTAATAAATTGTACGTTGAAATTATTCAATGATAATAACGGCCAAAGGAATTTTCAATGGAAGGAAAATGAAAGCGGAACTTGGACATCTATTTGTATAAGTGTATATATAATAATATTGTTTTAAACATCAAATAAACACCTTTCTCAGATGTAAAAGTAAGTAAAGGGTTGTACTCAATTGAAAATTGTGTTACATCAAGTTAAACCCTCAAAATATACATAAATAGTATTGGGCCCACTGCACTGCGTGCAATCGAATCAACCGCCGTCTGCATTGAAATCATTTTTTGTCATTTTTTTATAAACAGGCAATAATAATTTCCCAAATTTCCAAAATATTGTTATTTTGTGAAAGTATAATTCATACCATGTGATGCCATTGTATAATGGGGTCTTCTAGCACATATTTGTGCATGTTTTAACCAAATTAGGCAAAAGTGGCATCCCCTCGTCAAACTGTACAGAAGTGTTTGCATAAACAGCAATTAATTGCACTGTGTGCGTGTAATAAGTTGAAAGAGTACATATGGGGTCTCCAGTCTCAAGTGTTTCATGTAAAACATTAAAACATAAAACAAAATTCAGTCATATATTTACCGACAACAGCAAACTGCCACATTTTATCCATCGCTTCTGCGACGAATACTCCACCCCCGCTGCGATTGACCAACCGCTTCTGGGAAAGCTATGGCCAGTGTGGGTATAGGTAGTACTTAAGAAAAATTCAACTTGCCGTTGTAGGTTAACCTCGTACGTACAGACGTATAGTTCAATTACTATATGCCTGGGGGCATAAAAAGAACAAGAGAATTTTTTTATTATATCTCACCTGATATAACATCTTTCTGTCCATGATAGGCAGCCTCAAACAGATGGTCTGCTGTCTTCTCAAACTGAAATAGAATGAAATGTTATTGTTGCTGCATAAACATTAAACAGTCAATTAAAACTATACATTTGGATATTTTACTTCTCATGAAGTGCATAAAACAATTTAAACACAAATATACGTAATCACATTTTTTACATTTAATGCTCTCAATTTTTGGAACATTCAACTATCATTTTTGGGGATATTAAAATGGAAATTTAAGTGCATCTGCCAACATTAAAGAGAGTAGTCAGAAACTATACTGTTGACAAAAGGCATTTTTTCCTTTAGGTTCCAGCAGGGTAAGTGTTAAATATATAACTTACAGATGCAAGCATCAGCACACTTTCCTTCATCTTCGCCAGCCCAAATCTTGTCACACCTAATACTTCTCCCTGTAATATTATATAAAGAAAGAAACACTATATAACCAGAGAAACATTATATAACTAGAGTAACATTATATAACCAGAGTAATAATATACATGTATGACTAGAGTAACATTATATAACCAAAGTAACATTATATAACCAGAGTAACATTATTTAACCAGAGTATCATTATATAGCCAGAGAAACATTACATAACCAGAGTAACATTATATATGTATGACCACAGTAACATTATATAACCAGAGTAACATTATATATGTATGACCACAGTAACATTATATAACCACAGTAACATTATATATGTATGCCCAGAGAAACATTATATAGCCAGAGAAACATTACATAACCAGAGTAACAATATACATGCATGACAAGAGTAACATTATATAACCAGAGTAACATTATATAACCATAGTTATATTATACATGTATGACAGAGTAACATTATATATCCAGAGTAAATTATATAACCAGTGTAACATTATATAACCATATTAACATTATACATGTATGACTAGAGTAACATTATATAACAAAAGTTAAATTATACATGTATGACTAGAGTAACATTATATAACCAGAGCAACATTATATAACCAGAGCAACATTATATAACCAGAATAACATTATACATGTATGACTAGAGTAACATTATATAACAAAAGTAACATTATACATGTATAACCAGAGTAACTTCATATAACCAGAGTAACAATATATAAAAATATACAGGGTAACATTATACATGTATGACCAGAATAACCTTATATATAAACAGTGTGACATTATATATAAACAGTGTAACATTATATACATGTAACCAGAATAAGATTATATTTTCAGTTTAACATTGAAATGCAATGAGTGTAACATTGTATAATCAGTGAAACTTTCAGCAATATTTAAAGTATTTACTAAACACAAACAACAATAAATAAACCTAAACCCATATCAAATATTCACAATCATGAAAGTATTTACATTTGTCAAAATTTAATAAAGACTGAAAAACCATTTTTGTATACATTGCTTGCAATGTATACAGAGTTATAGCTGCATTTCCACATTTGATAGTGTAAAGCCTTTGCTGAACAACATGCACTTCTGGATAAAACCTCGATAAAAAGTAGTTCCTCATTTAACAGTATTGTTACATTTAGATAACTCATCATTAAAATATTGTTTGCATAGTTGTAAAAAAGTTTTGAAAGTTCGAAACTAAGCATTTTCAGATTAAAGAAACATTTCTAAACATAAAAGCAAAAGATATCAAAAATTAATAGTCCATTGATAAAAGCATTGTGTATACCTACGCATCAAACTTTGTATCCACTCATGCCCTTGCAAGCATGAATGAATTACGACAAGACATCTTAAAAATGGAACAGTTGTCACACTCTGTATAAAAATATGTACAAACATCCAAAAGAGATATTAAATCAAATAAGTTGACCTTATCTACACTTGCATATTTTTTTCTATTTTCAAACTGTTTTACAAAGCCAGCATATACAATATATACAAGCTCCATATTATATATATATGGTGCTCGTAACAGAAATCTAGGTGCGTATCACAGCTTTGATTGTTACTTATTGTAAATCAGTATATAGAGGATATTCAAGTTTTTTCTATAAATACATGATTTATTTTCATTGAGTGGTATGAAAATAAATATTTCATGAGTGGCGGTAGCCACGAGTGAAATATGGTAATTTTCATGCCACAAGATGAAAATAAATCATGTATTTATAGAAAAAACTTGAATTTTCTGTTTATTATATACATTTTTCTCTTTTTTGATATTAAAATTTGAAAGATTTTCCTGTACTGGCAGAATTTAAAAGAAAGTAGTCCGGCAAGACACCAGTGAAAATACGGAAAATATGTTTCACTGCAGTGAAAAATAAATTTTTACAGTGAAAATACGGAAAATGAAAATACGCATTTTATTTCATCAATATTTCTCAATATTTCATTTATAAGTATATAATAAAACTGCGTATTAAGAAACAATTTAATACATTTAATTTATGTACAGAAAAATATTTTATCTGTTGATATTGATTTATGTATTGACAACACAATAAAAGTAACAAGCAATTTTCATAGTATTGCAAGCAATCCATAAGTCCCCTACCGGTTAGAACCCCAGCAACATTCTGATGGGCCATTGGCCATTTAATTTTACCAGTGAATGAATGAACTTAAATCTTTTGAGTTCTAAGTTTGTCTATATCACAGTAATGTTTTAAGCTTCCCTGCCTAGTAAGGAAATTATGTTTATACAACCTTATCATATTATTACGATGTGGGATTTTAAAGTAAATCCTATAAGGAATGAAGAAGTTGGAGTGAAAAATACCAATTTCTTGAAAAAAATCTAAGTTCAAGGGGGACATAATTCTGGAAATAATCTTGCTAGAGTATTTAACCTTCTCAAAAATGTTGAGAGATAATAAGAACCATATATATGAAGTTTGAAATTACTAAGATACATTAGGAAATAAAGAAGTTATTTAAAAACATTTTTTTCATAAAAATTCTAAGTTTAAGGGAGGTAATACTGATAATTTTTGTGCTAGAGTTGTAAAGCTTGTCACATATGATGTGGTTGATGACCAGAGACTTATATTTAAAGTTTGAAGTAAACACCTTAAGAAATAAAGAACTTATTGTGGAAAAGCTGAAAAAATTTAAATCAGAAATCTTGAAATTCAGGCTATTTGTTGCCATAGCAACCAGAATTTTCAACATAGGAAGAAAAGAAAAAGATGTGCATAATCTCCAGACTGCCATTTACCCATAATTCAAGTTTCATAAAAATATTTTCAGTACTTTTTGAGTTATCACTGGATCCAGTTTATGTGTTAAATTTGCCATATTTTTAGACTATTTGTTGCCATAGCAACCAAAATTTTCAACATAGGAAGAAAAAAAAAAGACGTGCATAATCTCCATACTGCCATCTATCCATATATCGAGTTTCATAAAAACATTTTCAGTGCTTTTTGCGTTATCGCGGAATCCAGTTTTGTGGACGGATGGACTGACGGACTGACAGACGGACTAAGGGTTAACCTAAAGTCCCCTCCGGTTAAACCGGTAGGGGACTAATAAAGAACTTATAGTGAAAAAGCTGAAAAATTTAAATCAGAAATCTTGAAATTCAGGCTATTTGTTGCCATAGCAACCAGAATTTTCAACATAGGAAGAAAAGAAAAAGATGTGCATAATCTCCAGACTGCCATCTACCCATATTTCAAGTTTCATAAAAATATTTTCAGTACCTTTTGAGTTATCACTGGATCCAGTTTATGTGTTAAATTTGCCATATTTTCAGACTATTTGATGCCATAGCAACCAGAATTTTCAACATAGGAAGAAAAAAAAGACGTGCATAATCTCCATACTGCCATCTATCCATATATCAAGTTTCATAAAAATATTTTCAGTACTTTTTGCGTTATCGCAGGATCCAGTTTTGTGGACGGACGGACAGACAGACGGACGGACAGAGGGTAAACCTAAAGTCCCCTCCGATTAAACCGGTAGGGGACTAAAAATAAGAGATCTACATTTTTGCTTGATTGTTAAACAGAAAAATACAAGTCTATACACAGGGTGAACATTTTACGGATTATTCTTTTCAAATTCTGTTAGTGTTGTATTATTTCTAATAATAAAAGTACTGATTTTATGATATTAAAAAATCCAGTCTGCATATATGCAGACCGTCACTTCCAATTCTATTCTTATTAACAGATTAATATTGAAATGTCTCAGCATGTAAAGGACTCGAACACCTAGCTGACTCGGATTACCGTTCTTCGGGCTGAGCTACCTGGCCGGTTACACATGATTATCTCCCCTAAATAGTGAACAGTTCTATTTAAGAAATAATTTATCCCAAACAGTGATTTTATCGCTCAATAACATCACTGTTTGGAGTTCAGATGCGAGGAAGTATATCTAGAGTAAATTATATAAGCAGTGTAATATCATATACTTTTTCTAAAAGCAAACAAAGAAAATTTGAACAAATCTTAACATTTCCTTTTTATAATTTTACCTGATAATAAATAAGCTAAATTGCACCTGATTTGTTTCCGTACTTATTTTCAGCGCGTCACATTTTTAGTGGTTACGTCACATGTATATAATGATTACGTCATAAGTCTAAATATAGAACGTCAACAGTGACTTTGTTGCATAATAATACACACTTTCGGTTCTTCTATGTTCGATAGGGGAAAATGCGGGTCTTGTTAGAATAAATTGTAACATATACTTCTCCACTACATTGAAATTCATCCTAAGGGTTACAGAGCAATGTGATTACATGCTGCCACAGAGCTGTGTCCAAAGGACACTGATGCCCCCACTGACAACATATATATAGTATATAGTGAAAAAATCAACAAAGGGTCATAAATCTGTTAAATTTGGTCGCAGCAAAAATTCCTTCCTTTACTACCATCTACACATTAAGGTTGTTCATCCCTGAAGTTTAAGCAAAATCTGCCATCCGTTTTAAGAGGAGTTGCCTTGACAAGATTTTGGGACGTACGAAGAGACGTACGGACGGACATGTGCAACGCTATATACTCCCCACTTTGTGGGAGCATAAAAATGTGTAGTCTGATCAGGTCTTGAACTTAGGATATGACCCTCAAAGTACCAAAGTACAACAATTTAATATTTTATTATAACAAGATATGTTTGTAAAACATGTATGCCCCCTATCAGCAGCCAATTAGTCATGTGATAAGGTTATTATGCATGACGTCTGACCCAGTGATCAAACAATTAATAAGGGTTATAAAGTATCTACTGGTCATGACCTTGACCTTTGACCCCTTGACCCAAAACTCAATAGGGGTCATCTGCTGGTCACGACCAATCATCATACAAAGTTTGAAGTTCCTAGGCCTAGGCGTTTTTAGTAAATTGATCAGAAACCGTTTTTACCTACAAGAATGTGACCTTGACCTTTGACCCCTTGACCCCAAAATCAATAGGGGTCATCTGCTGGTCATGACCAATCACCATGCCAAGTTTGAAGTTCTTAGGCCTAAGGGTTCTCTTATTATTGATCGGAAACCGTTTTAACATACAAGGTCAATGTGACCTTTGTCCCCAAAATCAATAGGGGTCATCTGCTGGTCATGACCAATCTACATGCCAAGTTTGAAGTTTCTAGGCCGAAGCGTTCTTTAGTTATTGATCAGAAACCGTTTTTACTTACAAGGTCATTGTGACCTTGACCTTTGACCCCTTGATCCCAAAATCAATAGGAGTAATCTGCTGGTCATGACAAATCACCATACCAAGTTTGAAGTTCCTAGGCCTAAGCGTTCTTGAGTTATTGATCAGAAACCGTTTTTACTTAAAAGGTCAATGTGACCTTGACCTTTGACCCCAAAATCAAAAGGGGTCATCTGCTGGTCATGACCAATCACCATGCCAAGTTTGAAGTTTCTAGGCCGAAGCGTTCTTTAGTTATTGATCAGAAACCGTTTTTACTTACAAGGTCATTGTGACCTTGACCTTTGACCCCTTGATCCCAAAATCAATAGGAGTAATCTGCTGGTCATGACAAATCACCATACCAAGTTTGAAGTTCCTAGGCCTAAGCGTTCTTGAGTTATTGATCAGAAACCGTTTTTACTTAAAAGGTCAATGTGACCTTGACCTTTGACCCCTTCACCTAAAGCTCAATAGGGGTCATCTGCTGGTCATGACCAATCATCACACAAAGTTTGAAGTTCCTAGGCCTAAGCGTTTTTAGTTAATTGATCGGAAACCGTTTTTACCTACAAGGTCAATGTGACCTTGACCTTTGACCCCTTGACCCCAAAATCAATAGGCCATCTGCTGGTCATGACCAATCACCATACCAAGTTTGAAGTTCCTAGGCATAAGGGTTCTTAAGTTATTGATCCGAAAGCATTTTTACCTACAAGGTCAATGTGACCTTGACCTTTGACCCCTAGACCCCAAAATCAATAGGCGTCATCTACTGATCATGACCAATCACCATCTCAAGTTTGAAGTCCCTAGGCCTAAGGGTTCTTTCATTATTGATCGGAAACCGTTTTTACCTACAAGGTCAATGTGACCTTGACCTTTGACCCCTTAACGCCAAAATCAATAGGGGTCATCTGATTGGTCATAACCAATCACCATACCAAGTTTGAAGTTCCTAGGCCTAAGGGTTCTTTTTGTTATTGATCAGAAACCGTTTTATAATTAAAAGGTCAATGTGACCTTGACCTTTGACCCCTTGACCCCAAAATCTATACGGGTCATCTACTGATCATGACCAATCACCATACCAAGTTTGAAGTTCCTAGGCCTTAAAGTTCTTTAGTTATTGATCGGAAACCGTTTTTACCTACAAGGTCAATGTGACCTTGACCTTTGACCCCTTGACCCAAAATCAATAGGGGTCATCTACTGATCATGACCAATCACCATACCAAGTTTAATGTTCCTAAGCCTTAAGGTTCTTTAGGTATTGATCGGAAACCGTTTTTACCTACAAGGTCAATGTGACCTTGACCTTTGACCCCTTGACCCCAAAATCAATAGGGGTCATCTACTGATCATGACCAATCACCATACCAAGTTTGAAGTTCCTAGGCCTTAAGGTTCTTTAGTTATTGATCGGAAACCGTTTTTTGCTTTTAAGGTCAATGTGACCTTGACCTTTGACCCCTTGGCTCCAAAATCAATAGGGGTCATCTACTGGTCATGACCAATCACCATACCAAGTTTGAAGTTCCTAGGCCTTAAGGTTCTTTAGTTATTGATCGGAAACCGTTTTTTGCTTTCAAGTCAATGTGACCTTGACCTTTGACCCCAAAATCAATAGGGGTCATCTACTGGTCATGACCAATCACCATACCAAGTTTGAAGTTCCTAGGCCTTAAGGTTCTTTTGTTATTGATCGGAAACCGTTTTTGCTTTCAAGGTCAATGTGACCTTGACCTTTGACCCCTTGACCCCAAAATCAATAGGGGTCATCTACTGGTCATGACCAATCACCATACCAAGTTTGAAGTTCCTAGGCCTAAGGGTTCTTTAGTTATCACTCGGAAACCATTTGGTCTACGGACCGACGGACCGACAAGTGCAAAGCAATATACCCCCTTTTTTTCAAAATGGGGGCATAATTATTATTAGTATTATACTTAAAAGGGCCAAGACATTCATTTATATTTATATCAAGTCATTTTTAAAAGTGAAAACTGTACTTATGCATATACATGTACTATATGTATATCTTTGGACAGATAAGAAAATATCATGGTGGCAGATTTGTGCCATAGCATTTCTTTGTTTCGCAAGCAAATTAAACACTTTTTCATACTTCTGTGTTTACGTCATGCACCCAGCAAACATTTTAGTATTTTCACCTGGCAGGTTGACTCTTCCAGAGACCTGGAGATTCAGACTGGCGTGCCTCCATTTAAAACAAGAGCCGGTTGAACCGGGTGATGCTCCCAGACTAGGTTCTGGACACAGAAAAGTATATCTTTTGTAGTTTCAGAGTAATGTCCCAGACAAAGATCAAAGTGTGATAATTCCAAACTTAGGCAAGGCAGAGTTACTGTTCTTTGCACTGCACTTCTACTCAATGAGATCTCTTCTTTTTTCTTTTTGAAGAGTAATTATCCGTGAGTATCTGCCTTGGATGCGCATTCTGATGTGCACAAAAAAACTAACGAAAAGGTCTTTAAGTTGATATAAAGATTTCACAACTTAACTGGTGCAGAAAAACCCTCAGGTGCCCAACTACATATTATTTCAGAATTAATTTAAGAAGGCACCTGTGAAGATCCTTAGCTTTACAGTTTGCTATCTGGATAGCTATTCACATGGAGATGACAGGATTTGAACCAAAAGTGAACAGGGGCAAATACCTTAAACACTTGACTATGGACTTTTATGTGACATGACCCTATTAAGATTATATGAGAACTTTCTATCTTTACTGGTGGAGGCAGACTTTATGTGACATTCCATACAATATTATCATCACAGACTGGAAAAGAGAGACTAACACACAGCAACCTAAAGAATTCACCTATATATCAAAAGAAAGAATTAAGTACCTTATATGTCATAAGATCGGCCAGTAACATGACATGTCTTATATCTATACTCATCCCATGGCTGCCCATTGTATAATTGATCTCATTCATAATAGTAGTCCTTGCTGCTTCTATACCCAGTGTCTTCTCTACCTCTATTGTATTGTTAGATGTTACATGTGAACCTTTTACACCTGTAGTCATTTGATGTTTTGTAGAAATTATTATCTTGAATTTCAAATGAAAACAAGCAAAAACATTAACTTTATTGTGTTCACAAACCAAACTCAAGAGTATGTTTCCCCGAGTTTTCTTTTAAAAATCAAAATCATTTAAATGAACAAATATATATTGTAATTACAAATATCAGAGTGATCAATATTTGATGCAGTCTTATTTACAAAAATAACAACAAACTAGAACTCCATGAGTCGGATGTGTCGCCTTGTGAACAATATAGTTTAGGAGAAATGGCCAGGACAAAAATGAAATTTGAAAATCAACAAAGGGCAATAACTGAAACAAGAGGGCCATGATGGCCCTAGATCGCTCACCTGACCCATCAAACTCATCCGAACAATTACCTAGACAAGCATTCTGACCAAGTTTCATAACAGGTGAGTCAAAAATGTGACCACTAGAGTGTTAGCAAGGATTATCCATATTTGAGCAGTGTGACCTAGTTTTTTACCCAGGTGACGCATATTCAAACTTGACCCAGAAATCATCAAAACAAACTTTCAGACCAATTTCCAGGATACTTGGATCAAAACAGTAGCAACTAGAGTGTTAACAAGATCTTTCTATTTTTAGCTCCTGTGACCTAGTTTTTCATCCGAGATGACCCATGTTGGAACTGATCTAAGCAATTACCTAAACAAGTTTCCTGACCAAGTTTGATGACAATTGAGTCAAAATTGTGACCACTAGAGTGTTTACAAGATTTTTCTATTTTGTGCTCCTGTGACCTAATTTTTCATCCAAGATGACCCATGTTCGAACTCATCCAAGCTATCACCTAGACAAGCATCCTGACTAACTTTGATGATGATTGAGGCAAAAATGTGACCGCTAGAGTATTAACAAGGTTTTTTCTATTTTTAGCTCCAGTGACCTAGTTTTTCATCTGTCAAGCTAACACCTAGACAAGCATCTTGACCAAGTTTGATGATGATTGAGGCAAAAATGTGACCGCTAGAGTGTTAACAAGGTTTTTCTATTTTTAGCTCCTGTGACCTAGTTTTTTTATCCGAGATGACCCATGTTCGAACTAATCCGAGCTATCACCTAGACAAGCATGCTGACCAAGTTTGATGATGATTGAGGCAAAAATGTGACCGCTAGAGTGTTAACAAGGTTTTTCTATTTTAGCTCCTGTGACCTAGTTTTTGATCCGAGATGACCCATGTTCGAACTCATCCAAGCTATCACCTTGACAAGCATCCTGACCAACTTTGATGATGATTGAGGCAAAAATGTGACCGCTTGAGTGTTAACAAGGTTTTTCAATTTTTAGCTCCTGTGACCTAGTTTTTGACCGGACATGACCAATCTTCACACTTTACCCAGAAATTATCAAAACAACCTTCCTGACAAATTTCCAGAATATTTGGTTCAAAACTGCAGCCACAAGAGTGTTTACAAGCTTTTTCTATTTTTAGCTCCTGCGGCCTAGTTTTTGACCGGAGATGACCCATCTTCGAACTTGACCTAGAAATCATCAAAACAACCTTCCTGACAAATTTCAAGAATATTTGAATCAAAACTGCAGCCAATAGAGTGTAAACAAGCTTTTTCTATTTTTAGCTCATGTGACCTAGTTTTTGACCGGAGATGACCCATCTTCGAACTTGACCTAGAAATCATCAAAACGACCTTCCTGACAAATTTCCAGAATATTTAAATGAAAACTGCAGCCTCTAGAGTGTTAACAAGCTTTTTCTATTTTTAGCTTCTGTGATTAGTTTTTGACCTGAGATGACCAATCTTCGAACTTGACCTAGAAATCATCAAAACAACCTCCCTCACAAATTTCCAGAATATTTAAATGAAAACTGCAGCCTCTAGAGTGTTAACAAGCTTTTTCTATTTTTAGCTCCTGTGACCTAGTTTTTGACCGGAGATGACCCATCTTCGAACTTGACCTAGAAATCATCAAAACAACCTTCCTGAGAAATTTCCAGAATATTTGAATCAAAACTGCAGCCACTAGAGTGTTAACAAGCTTTTTCTATTTTTAGCTCCTGTGACCTAGTTTTTGACAGGAGATAACCCATCTTTGAACATGACCTAGAAATCATCAAAACAACCTCCCTGGCAAATTTCCAGAATATTTGGATGAAAACTGCAGCCCCTAGAGTGTTACCAAGCTTTTTCTATTTTTAGCTCCTGTGACATAGTTTTTGACCGGAGATGACCCATCTTCGAACTTGACCTAGAAATCATCAAACCAACCTTCCTGACAAATTTCCAGAATATTTGGATGGAAACTGCAGCCTCTAGAGTGTTAACAAGCTTTTTCTATTTTTAGCTCCTGTGACCTAGTTTTTGACCCGAGATAACCCATCTTCGAACTCAATCTGTATTTCATTGAGACAAACATTCTGACAAAGTTTGATGATGATCCAATCAAAACTGTGATTGCTAGACTGTTAACAACCCAATTGTTGACGACGCTTTTTGACGGACATAGCCCCATCACTATACCTCACCTTGACCACTTTGTGGTCAGGTGAGCTAAAAACAAAGTTACAGCCAATAATAGCAAGAACAAGCAAAATTTGGACTTTTAACCTTGAAGGTGAAGGTCATTTATGGATGAAGGTCAAGGTTAGTGTGGTCTACTGAAATATCTTGTCCCAAGGGTTGTTCTGGCCAAGTATGAAGACAATACACCAAGAAATAAAAAAGTTATGATAGGCAACGCTGCCGCGACTATAGCAATACCTATACTTTTTTTCAAAATAAAAAAAAAGATTGCATTTGAGAAAAATGCTATGCCACCGCATTAATACAACACTAAATAGTAGTGTAGGAACAGATTTATTTTGTTTCAATACAATTGAAGATTGTCATAATGCATAGATCCCTGACCTATCTAATTCTTATTATCAGACTAGTGGTTAAATCTATTGTTAATCCAATAAAAGATCAGAGTAGGAATATATCAATGCACTTGAGTCTAGTGAATTTGGTGATGAAGGTCATATTTCACACAGCCTAAATTTCATGACTACATCAAAAGACAACACAATAGACACTTTGTCAAAATCTAGGTCAGCTGATATCAAAGATCACTTTACATCTTAATCTGTGCACATGGTTCAAATTTCATAGCTGTACATCAAAGGACAAGAAAGTAGGTCACATCATCAAAATCTAGGTCACCTGATACCAAAGTTCAATTTTACAACTAAAACTGTGCACATGGTCAAAATTTCATTGCTGTACATCAAAGGACAAGAAAGTAGGTCACTTGGGCAAGGCAAAACTTTGACCCAAGGGTTAAATTTAAAACAATCTTGATACAGGTCCACCAAACAACATTTCAAGTCAAATATCTAAGCTGTAGCTTTCTCCCATTCAGAAAACATTTGTTTTATTTTCTGTTTTTACTATGTGTACATAATGAGAATCACTGCCCCCCGGGCAGGGCCAATTTTGACACCAGGGGAAAAATTTGAACAACTTTGGTAGAGGACTTATAGATGATATTATATAGCAAACATCAAAGCTCTATGCCTTGTACCTTCAGACAAAAATATTTTTTATTTCTTTTTTACTATATGAACATAATGAAAATCAATGACCCCCGGGGCAGAACCAATTTTGACAGGGCTATAATTTGAACAATCTTAGTAGAGGTTTACTTCATAATGTTTCATGCAAAATATCTTAACTCTAGCCTTTGTAAATTTAGAGAAGATGATTTTTTAAGTTTTTACTATATACATATAAGGTAAACCTATGGCCTCCGGGGCGGGGCTAATTTTGACACTAGAGGCCAAATTTGAACAACTTTGGTAGAGTACCTATAGATGATATCATTTAACAAATATTAAAGCTCTAAGCCTTGTACCTTCAGACAATATTTTTTTTTTATTTTTTACTATATGTATATATTGAAAATCAATGACCCCCGGGGCAGGGGCAATTTTGACCCAAGGGCTATAATTTGAACATTCTTGCTAGAGGTTCACTACACAATGTTTCATGCAAAATATCTAACCTCTAGCATTTGTCAATTGCTAGAAGAAATTTTTTTAAAGTTTTTACTACAAGTTTTTACTATATACATATAAGGAAAACCAATGACCCCCGGGCGGGGCCAATTTTGACCCCAGGGCTATAATTTGAACAATCTGGGTAGAAGTCTACCACACAATGCCTTATGCAAAATATGTAAGCTCTAGGCCTTTTGGGTCTTTACAAGGAGGTATTTAAAGTTTTTACTATATAGTGAAAATCAATGACCCCCGGGGCGGGGCCAATTTTGACCCTAGGGCTATAATTTGAATAATCTTAGTAAGGGTCTACCAGACAATGGCTTATGCAAAATATCTAAGCTCTAGGCCTTTAGAGTCTTTACAAGAAGGTATTTTAAGTTTTTACTATATGTACATATAGTGAAAATCAATGACCCCGGGGCGGGGTTGATTTTGACCCCAGGGCTATAATTTGAACAATCTTGGTAGAGGTCTACCAGACAATGCCTTATGCAAAATATCTAAGCTCTAGGCCTTTTGGGTCTTTACAAGAAGACTTTTAAAATTTATTCTGATAATTCCTTTTGGTTGCCATGGCAACCAGATTTCTGCATGAAATGAAATTCTTTGAACAACTTTGGAAGCCCTTCACACAAGGATCAATCCTGCCAAGTTTGGTTGACATTGGACTAGTGGTTTTTCACAAGAAGATTTTTAAGTTCACTATATAATCTATATAACACACAAAAACACACACATACACACAGGTGAATCACTATATGCCACTGCATTGCAGATGCTGCGGTGGCATAAAAAAAGTCGAGCTAAAAATTGCAAACTTTTACGGAGTCAAGGGCAATAACTCTGCAAATACTAAATAAATCCACACAAAAATATCCAGGTGCACAACTTCACATGCTGAGCAACAATTCCTATATATTCCATGTATAATTTCCCGCTCATGACTTTCTTTCTTTCATATATATATATATATAAATAAAGCAAAAAACACAGTCAATGAGTTAACTTATTTAATTATTTGCCAACCGGTTTCTCTTATGATCATAAGAGCAACCGGTTGGCAAATAATTAAATAACTCATGGACTGTGTTTTTTGTTATATTTATATGTGACTTTTTTCCGGCACTTGTTTTCATTTTTTGTGTATATATATATATATACACATACATACACCAATAAATATTAAGGTCATTTGATATTGACCTTTTATCTTGTGACCACAATATAGATATGGATCTTTTATTATGAAGTTTGAACACTGTAAGCTAAATGAAACTTAAGTTATGCTCCAGAAACCAAAATTTTCAGGTTGGTCATTGTGACCATGATTTTTTATCTTATGACTCTAAAATCAATAGGGCTCATGTTTTGAACATGGCTGTTCACCCTTTAAAATTTTACAGCTGTAGGTTGATAAATACTTTCAGTTTAAAGGTTATAGTGACCTTATGACCCCAAAATCAATAGGGGTCTTCTACCAAATATTGACAATCATCCTATGAAGTTTGAACACTGTGGGCCAAATGGAACTTAAAGTTATGCTCCAGAAACAACAATTATCAGTTTAAAGATCATTGTGACCCTGACCTTTGACATTATGACCCTAAAATCAATAGGGTTATTTTGGATTTGGGCTTTTTCCTTTATCCTATAATTTTTTACGCTGTATTTTTGTTTAATATTTAATTATGAGAAAAAAGTTTTTGGAAAAACTGTTTTCAGTTTTTAAGGGGTAAATGACCTTGCCCTTTGCCCTTACCCAAAATCATAGGTCTTCCATTTAAAAAGGACTCCCTATGAAATTATTTGGGCCAAAAGGAACTTAAATTTTCTCCGGAAAAACCCAAATTTCTAACGGGCGATGCCAGGGGTATAACCTAAATTTCCCCCAAATTTTTAGGCATATAAAAATGAAAATTTTAAATTTGACCTTCAAATACGGTCATTGAGGGATCATTTAAGGGCCTGTTTATTTAAAGAGTCCTTTTAAAATTTTTATGTTTAAGTTTGAAGACAATCCATTCAAAAACCAAGTTATAGCAAATAATAGCAAGATTAAGCAAAATTTGGTCACTTGGCCTTGAAGGTCAATGTCATTTATGGATGAAGGTCAAGGTTAGTCTGGTCTACTGAAAAGTCTTGTCCCAAGGGTTGTTGTGGACAATACACCAAGAAATAAAAAAGTTATGATCAAGGTACAAGTTTGTGGACAGCAACAGCAATGCCGCCAGGACTATAACAGTACCTCTACTTAAAAAAAAAACAAAAAAAAAACAAAAAAACTTGAGCTAATGAACATAAACATGGACATGAGAGCACTAAGAAAGAAATGGAATTTGTTATTTTTAAAAAACAATTTTTTTTCCTAATTAAAATTAATATAAATATTAGTAAAATAAAATTTTATCAGAACAAAGTACTTTTTTAATATGGGCTATGTTTTGTTTTTATATGTACATAAGTTAAAGTCAGGAGTCTTCAAAAATAGATTTTATTATTATAGAATAACTTCCCTTGTTCCAAAGAGATCAGGCCAGTCAGAGTTACCTACCTTGTGTGGCCATAACATTTCTTAAGTTGTCTCCTTCTACAAGAAGCTTGTATGTGTTATCTCCCTTACTCTCATCAATATGTATCACAGCACGTGTAACTGACGGTATGCCCTAGAATTAAAGGTAATTTCTTATAAGAACAAGTTTACAAGTCATGAAATGGGAAAAAATATTTTTATTCAAATCCACAAAGTACTTCAGCTAATTAAAACCGATACATGCAAATAAGCTGGATGACTTATCAATATTTAACTTCTTTTACTACAACAAAATACTTACTTATAAAATATTAGATCTCTTCAGTCTGAACAAGCTCTATACTTTTGGTGGCTCATTTTTTTGTATAATTGAAATCCCTTAAGCTTAGAATGGACTGTTCCAAATTCAATGCTGGGCAAACACCATGTCGCAAATTCAGGAGGTCAAGGGTTCACATTATGATAATACACAATAACCTATCAGTCAAAGTTTACAACATGACATTAAATGATAATATAAATGAAATGTTTGTTTTAATTTTCTGCTTTGAACCATCAGTAACTCTGACACTGGTACTGATTTTAGTATATTTTTTCAGCTTTACTGGTGTAGAATGACCACATGCATCTCTACATACAACATTTCAGGAATGTGCAGACACCTGGGCAGATCTGTAAACATTTTGTTAATTATCTTGAAAGCTTTCAAATATAAAATACTTAAGCTTCCATTACAGAATTCAAACCCAAGTCAAAAATTGCCAACATCATTTAAAATTTAACAAATGTATCTTCAATTTTAGACATGCATAATCCAATCTACAAGACCATTCTGTGTCAATACACCCATCATCACTTTCGATATGAACTACGCAGATAACCGAGGAATATCGAGTTGTTTCCCTTGTCTTTAAGTAAAATCAATATCTCTTAAGCTAAAACAATACAAACTAGGGCTATCTCTGAAGGTGATTAATACCCCCACCAGCAACTTTGAATTTTGTAAAATAAGTTGTCTTAAGGAAAATTTGAACTCAACTTATCGTAAATAAAGTAATAATTATTAACAACTGTGTACAAAGAATCGTTTCAATTAATTGCAATCCCAACAAGGATCTTCATATAAGATTGATATACACCAAGTTTGATTACAATCTCATTTCTAACTCTAGTTATTGTTCTGGAATCCATTTTCCTATTTTTAGTAATGGTGACCTTGACCCGAGGGGGTCCACATGCAATACCAACCGGGGTCTTCATATAAGCTTGATATACACCAAGTTTGATTATTGTATGGAAACCTTTTTTCTATTTTTAGAAACGGTGACCTTGACCCCAGGGGTCCAAATGCAGGGGTCTTTATATAACTTTGCTATACACCAAGGTTGATTACAATACTGTAAAACACTTATTATTCGCAAGAAATTTATTTTCGCGAGTTTTCTAAGACGCGAATTCATATTTCTCGCGAATATTTCACTTTGTCTATACACTTGTCCGATAATGAACACTATCCGAAAATGCCTACACAGGATATATATCTGCGGGAAAGTATCGAAACCAGTTCTAGTTACATCATGTAGCTATTCAAGTGTTGCAGCATGTACATATCGTACATATTACTAGTATGAAATATTTACCTGTAACAATTTGGTATTATTGAGGAATTGGAGAAAAACTTCTTCGCTGCATATTACCTGTGTCAAGGAAGGTAACTGTGACTTGCACTAGAATTAAGTATAAACAAATTAATGCGTCTCACAAAATTTTAATGGTATTTCTACAGATTGTTCTAATTGGTACAAATACTTTAGCACCTGCGAGTTGTTTGTCACATTTCTATTTATTGTATCCTATTGTATTGTACTACAGTTTAAGCCGGAGGGTAAACATAATCGTTTTCTACAGGTTAGGCAAATTACAGTACCGTTTAATTGATTTTCGTCTGCTTGCCTTTGAATGGCTAATCAGTGAAACTTTAACACAGTGAACACATATTAAATAATTATCAAACTTTATTGACATATTTCTAGACAGACGGTTTCACTTAACAAGAAGATTAGCAAGCTATCAGAAAAATCTATACAGATATAAATGCATTCGTCGCACAATAAACGACGCAAAGTTAGTGAACGGACAGGACAGAAAATATCAGAATGACATCGGGTTTCCGGTTTCACATTTTTCGGGAAGACGCGAGTTCATGTTGACGCGAAATAATTATTTTGGACATTTTGCCTCAAATTCGCGAAATAAGGTTCTCGCGAAAAATAAGTGTTTTACAGTATCTCATTCCAACTGTAGTTATTGTCTGGAAACCATTTTTCTATTTTTAGTTACAGTGACCTTGATCCCAATTGATCCAAATGCAATTCCAATAGGGGTTTCCACGTAAGGTTGCTATATACCAAGTTTGAATACAATACCTCCTCCAAACTCTAGTTATTGTCCGGAAACCATAATGTGGACCAATCGACGGATGGACGGACCTACCAACAAGCTGACTCCCATATACCCCCCTAAACTTTGTTTTTGGGGGCATAATAATTAAACTGTTTAACACCCCTAGTTTGTTTATAACCCCAAAATGGCTCCCACTTTTGGCAAGGGAGTTAAATATTGCAACTAGAACTCTGCGAGTCAGATAAGTGGCCTTGTAAACTGTATAGCTGTCACTTGGGCACTTTTTTTTCTTAAATATAGGATATTTATAAACACTGCTCTTACAATGTACATGTACCTTTAACTTTAGTGGCAGTTGAACTGATTGTAACAATGTTACATCAGGATTAACAAAACTGTAATATTATCAAAAACTAGAAATGTGTCGTCACGCCAAGGATGCCCCACACGCAGCCAAAATTTCAGATGTTATAATATTTAGTTCCAAATTTGTTTGCACAAACTATTTTTTTTCATTTTAAGTTCAAAGCTCTTAAAACTATTTAATGTTAACACAAACCATTTTTGAACAAAGTTCAAGGCACTAAACTATTCAGTGTTAACCTTTTGTAAATTGCATATTGCATATTTGTAGCCAAAATAATGGCTACATATATTGCCACAAAAGTATGAGTGCTGAAAGTGAAAATTCAAATTTTTTCCAACATTCAAGAGAGATAACTTTGTCCAAAATGTTTTAACCACGACCAAATTCAAACTTAAATTGCTTATTCCTAAGATGTATCTATATGTCAAATTTGAGTTGAATGTGTACAACCATTGGGGAGATAATGAACGAAAACTAAAAATTACTGATTTCTTTAAAAGTTCAAGAGGGATAACTCTGTCAGCTATCATCAAACCATGACCAAATTTGAAATTGACCAGTGCATTCTTATGACATATCCATATCTTAAATTTGAGTTGAATATGTACAACTGTTGGTGAGATAATGAATGGGAACTGAAAATTTCCTCTTTTCATAACTCTGCCAAAAATCATCGAACCATGACCAAATTCAAACTTAACCTGCCCATTTCTTTGACGTATCCATATGTCAAATTTGAGTTGAATGTGTAATACCCTAGAGGAGATAATGAACTGAAACTGAAAATTTCATATTATTTTCAAAGTGAAAGGGACATAAATGCCAAATGACAAAATTCAAATTTGACCTTCATATTCCTATGACGTATCCATATGTCAAATTTGAGTTGAATGTGTAATACCATTGGGGAGATAATGAACGGAAACTGAAAATTTCATATTATTTTCAAAGTGGAAGGGGCATAACTGTGCAAAATATCATCAAACCATGACCAAATTCCAACTTGACCTGTATTTTCTTATGACATATCTTATGTCAAATTTGAGTTGAATTTGTGCAACCGTTACAAAGATAATGAACAAAAACTGATGATGACGAAATGATAGAATGATGAAAGGACGGAATGACAGAACAGGGTAACACTATATGCCCCAGCCATTATATGGCGGGGGCATAATAAAAACACCATGGAAAAGTTTTACACTGACAGATCGATTGGATTTGATTTTTAAGCACTGCACTTCAGGTGGCATAATAAAAACACCATGGAAAATATATGTCCCCCTTTCTTGCCTCACATTATTGGTTATTTTGTTACAGAAACTTGCCATAAATGGGTACATGGAAGTGTTCAATTATGGGAAAAGAAAAATAATGAAGACTTTGTGATGAATAATTTTCAAGATAATGTGCGGAAACCATTCTGACATATAAGGCTCCTGTGACCTTGAACTTTGAAATAGTGACCCAAAATCATCTAACAAGAGGGCCATGATGGCCCTGAAGTCGCTCACCTGTATATAGGCCCCCGTAGCAGGGCCAGTTTAAACCCCAGGGCTTTTATTTGAACAAACTTGGTAGACACCCATTAGAAGATGTTTCATGCTAAACATCTAAGGTCTAGCTGGTCAAGTTTTTTCTTTAAACATATAGTTAAAAACAATGACACACCTGAGGCGCCGGGCCAGTTTGGACCCAAGGGTTTTTATTTGTACAATCTTTGTAGACACTTACTAGAAAATGTTTCATGCTTAATATCTGAACTCTAGCTATTCGGATTTTTCGAAGAAGATTTTTAAGTTTTTGCTATACACATATAAGGAAAATCAATGACCCCTGGGGCGGGGCCAATTTTGACCCCAGGGCTTTTATTTGAACAAACTTTGTAGACACTCACTAGAAGATGCTTTGTGCTTAATATCTAAACTCTAGCTATTTGAGTTTTTTCAAAGAAGATTTTTTAAGTTTTTGTTATACACATATAAGGAAAATCAATGACCCCCGCGGCGGGGCCAATTTTGACCCCAGGGCTTTTATTTGAACAAACTTGGTAGACACTCACTAGAATATGTTTCATGCCAAATATCTAAGCTCTAGCTCTTTGGGTTTTTTAGAAAAAGGTATTTAAAGTTTTTTCATTTGGTTGCCATGGCAACCAGAGTTCTGCATGGAAATAAATTCTTTGAACAATTTTCAAAGGTGACCACCAAAGGAACATTCCTGTGAAGTTTGGATGAAATTGGCTTAGTGGTTTATGAGGAGATGTCATTTAAAGTAAAAGTTTACGGACGCCGGACGAAAAGCGATCACAAAAGCTCACCCTGTCACTTTGTGACAGTGAGCTAAAAATGAAATATGAAAATTAACAAAGGGCAATAACTCTAAAAAATCATGAAGTGCAGAGTACCTGTTCTTGTGATATCTATCATCCTATGAAGTTTCATGTTCATGGCTTTTATAGTTTAGGAGAAATGGCCCGGACAAAAATGAAATATGAAAATTAACAAAGGCCATTAACTTATCACTTATAGTGACTGACTTTTGCTCCGGACAAGCTTAAGGGGACGCCGATGCTGACACCGCCGACATAAGTAGCCTCTATATGTCGCCTTTTTTAAGGCAACACAAAAATTTGGAACTATCTTAAACCATCAAATCTATGACCTACTGACCTTAATCCGGACTGATGCCAACTCTTTCTTCCAAAATTGTAGAGTATAATACATAGAACTTTTTGCTGACTCTTTAGGATGTATGGTAAGTACAGCTGCACTGTGAATATGTACATTCTGTAATAAAAAGCAATTATCAATGTATTGCAAGCAATGCAAAAGAACTCTATCAGTTACAATTTGAAAGGCCATGGCCATTTAATTATGCCATTGTGGAAGACATGAATGAACTTAAATCTTCTGAGTTCTTAGTTTGTATCATAGTAATGTGTAAGTTTCCCTGCCTAAAATGTTTATACAACAGATAATGAAAAGATTCATTTTTCTCAGGATGAATAATTGTATAACTTATGTTTCAACTTTTTTTTATGTCAGTAAATTTGTTGGAAAGTTCCGCATAGGCATGGCAATACAGGACTAAATGCAAACTTGTTTTAAGTAAATAAAATCTAAAGTAATCAAAAAAAAATTTTTAAACAGAGAGGATACCCATTTGTACAAAACATGTTTTATTTCAATTATCAATATTAAGATCTACACATGTATATTGATACATGCCAAAGAGCCAGGCTCTTGTCACATGAAAAATTAGTGGCAATTATATATGGTACAGCTTTCGCTGTGGAGTACATACCTAAAGGTCTTCTGTTTTTTTACAAGAAGATTTTTTATTTTTTTGCTATATTTATATCATGAAAATCAAAGACCCCCAGGGCGGGGCCAATTTTGACCCTAGGGCTTTTATTTAAACAAACTTGGTAGTTTCATGCCAAATATCTAAGCTCTAGCGCTTTTGGTTTTTTACAAGAATTTTTATCATTTTTTTACTCTTATGTATTTAATGAAAATCAAAAACCCTTGGGACGGGGCCAATTTTGAGCCCAGGTCTATAATTTGAACAATTTTTGTAGAGTTTCATGAGAAGATGCTTCACACAAAATATCTAATCTCTAGGCCATGCACAGATTTAATTATTGAGCCCTCCTCACCCAGATGTCCAATTATGCAGAACCATTTTGAGCAATTTTGGTAGACCTTCTTGCTAAGAACATCCCAGGAAAATTTCATCAAATTTGGCCCAGTGGTTTCTGCTAAGAAGTTGTTTGTATAAATAGTTGATGACGGACGCACAGATGCACTGATGGACGTTGGACAAATTGTGAACAAACTTGGTAGGCCCACTCTAGATGTTTCATGCTTTCTATCTAAGCTCTAGTTCTCTTGGTTTTTTTAAAAGAAGGTTTTCGTTTTTTTTTCAGTAAGATTTTAACCATATCCATATAAGAAAAATCAATGATCCCCTGTCTGGGGCAGGTTCAATTTTGACCAAAGGGCATTTATTTTTCATGCTAAATATCTAAAAAGTAGAAGACTTTTGTTTTGTTTTTTCTATAAGATTTTTTAAGTTTTAACTACTAGGGTTGTCCTAAAAGTCTGTGACAAATTTTATAAACGGTTCTTTTTTAACACCAAAATATAATGATTTACACATATAACCTATAAGTTTATTATTTAACATTACAACAAATCATTCACAAAATATCTACTGTAGTTACTTAAAAACATTCAGTATTAACAACATTGGTTTGAGTTCCCGGCGCATGTCAAATAATTTGCGTTTTGTTATGAGTATGCTTAAATAAACAAGCAATTATCATAGTATTGCAAGCAATCCATAAGTCCCCTACCGGTTAGAACCCCAGCAACATTCTGATGGGCCTGTGGCCATTCAATTTTACATAGTTTGAAGTAGATACATTAGGAAATAAAGAAGTTATTTAAAAAAGACATTTTCTTTTCATAAAAGTTCTAAGTTCAAGGGAGGTAATACTGATAATTTTTGTGCTAGAGTTGTAAACCTTGTCACATATGATGTGGTTGATGACCAGAAACTGATATTTAAAGTTTGAAGTAAACACCTTAAGAAATAAAGAACTTATAGTGAACAAGGTTGCCATAGTCACAAAATACGCCCGTTTACGAAAAAGCTTTAGATGGAGATGGGGGCATTATGGATAAGTGTTATCTAGCAAGCAAGTTTTTATTCTTGGCACTGTGTTGTTAAATGAACCTTAAAACAAATCAATAGGGAAGATATGCACAGAATGTGTGACCTTGACCTTGGTCGCAGGGACCTGAATTTTATGCACGGCACTCAGCCTCACAATGATGAACATTTGTGCCAAATTATATTGAAATCCCTCTATGCATGTAGAAGTTTTGCTCCAGACAAGTGTTTTTCTATGAGCTCTAACTGTGACCTTCACCTTTGACCTAGAGACTTGGTTTATGTGCAGGGCACTACGTCTCATGGTAGTGAACAATTCTATAAAAGTAACATTAAAATTCCTCCATGCATGTAGAAAATATGCTCCGGACAACATCTGGATATTTAATCATCTCCAGTGACCTTGACCTTGCAAATATAAACCTAAATTAAATGTGTAACACCTGTAGTCATGATAGTTACCATTTGTGCTACAATCCATCAATAAATGATGACTAAATGGTCCCTATAACCATCTTCAAATTTTTATCTGAACTTTGACCTCTATGTGTAACCTTGACTTTGGTCGCAGGGATCTGAATTTTGCATGCGACACTCAACCTCACAATGGTGAACATTTGTGCCAAGTTATATTGAAAACCCCCTATGAATGTAGAAGTTTTGCTCCGGACAAGCGTTTTTCAATGAGCTCTAAGTGTGACCTTGACCTTTGACCTGAATCATGCATGGAGCAATACATATCATGGTGGTGAACATTTCCATAAAGTATTATAAAAATTCTTCCATACATGTAGGAGATATGCTCCAGACAAAATCTGGATATTTCACCATCTTTAGTGACCTTGACCTTGCATATATTGACCTAAAGTACATGTGTCACAGCCGTAGTCATTATAATGACCATTTGTGTTACAATCCCTCAATAAATGATGATTAAATCGTCCCTATACACATCTTCATATTTTTATCTTTTTTTAAACGGGCGTATAAAAAGTACATGTAATTTAATAACTAAAAAATTCTGATTTTAGATTTTATTCTAGGGAAATACATTTCATTACAATTCTTAATCTTTGAATGAGCTGAACTGATATTTACTTGAAAATTAAAATATAATTAAATTTCTATGAGAAAGTATTTACATTTGATAAGGTAATTACTGTATGATCTTTGTGAACAAATACCAAGTCTACAGAACACCATAGTTATCACAGTTAAGAATCTTGACCAATGAATGAAACATGTGTAAATAAATGTTACATTCTTTAGAACATACTCAAGTCCAAGAAAGAGGATTATTTCATGCCCTTTGATTAAATTCTATTTTTAGAATTGAAAGTGAAAATAGATCAAGGGGAGTAATTGTGTAAGTCATTTATGAACAAAGTAATAACTTTGTTGTCTCCCTTTGATTAAATTCTATTTACAAAATCTGGATATTTCATCATCTTTAGTGACCTTGACCTTGTATATATTGACCTAAATTATATGTATCACAGCCATAGTCTTGATAATGACCATTTGTGTTACAATCCCTCAATAAATGATGACTAAATGGTCCATATACACATCTTCATATTTTTATCTGAACTTTGACCTCTATGTGTGACCTTGACCGCAAGGACCTGAATCTTGCATGCGACACTCCGCCTCACAATGGTGAACATTTGTGCCAAGTAATATTGAAATCCCTCTATACATGTGGAAGTTTTGCTCCGGACAAGCATTTTTCAATGAGCTCTAAGTGTGACCTTGACCTTTGACCTAGAGACCTGGTTCATGTGCGCGACACTGCTCCTCATAGTGGTGAACATTTATATGAAGTTTCATTAAAATCCCTCCATACATGTAGGAGATATGCTCCGGACAAAATTGGACGCCGCCCGCCTGCCCGCCCGCCAGGGGCGTTCCCATAATACGTCCTGTTTTTCAAACGGGCGTATAAAAAGCTGAAAAATTTAAATCAGAAATCTTGAAATTCAGGCTATTTGTTGCCAGAAAATTTCAAGTTTCATAAAAATATATTCAGTACTTTTTGAGTTATCACTGGATCCAGTTTATGTGTTAAATTTGCCATATTTTCAGACTATTTGTTGCCATAGCAACCAGAATTTTCAACATAGGAACAAAAGAAAAAGACGTGCATAATCTCCATACTGCCATCTATCCATATATCAAGTTTCATAAAAATATTTTTAGTACCTTTTACGTTATCGCGGGATCCAGTTTTGTGGACGGACGGACAGACGTTCTTACCAGAGCTACATTATGGGGTTTTCTTTTGTTATTTCTTTTGTTCTTTTTAACCCCACAATGCAGAAAATAACCCCACAAGAGTAACGGAATGAATGACTTCAAAGACATCTATTGTTATAAGAACAATAGACCAAACCCCATAATGTAGCTCTGGTTTGTCAGACAGACAGACGGACGATATATGAAGTTTGAAGTAGACACATTAGGAAATAAAGAAGTTATTTAAAAAAGACAACATTTTTTTCATAAAAATTCTAAGTTCAAGGGAGGTAATACTGATAATTTTTGTGCTAGAGTTGTAAACCTTGTCACATATGATGTGGTTGATGACCAGAAACTTATATTTAAAGTTTGAAGAAAACACCTTAAGAAATAAAGAACTTATAGAGAAAAAGCTGAAAAATTTAAATCAGAAATCTTGAAATTCAGGCTATTTGTTGCCATAGCAACCAGAATTTTCAACATAGGAAGAAAAGAAAAATATGTGCATAATCTCCAGACTGCCATCTACCCATATTTCAAGTTTCATAAAAATATTTTCAGTGCTTTTTGAGTAATCACTAAATCCAGTTTATGTGTTAAATTTGCCATATTTTCAAACTATTTGTTGCCATAGCAGCCAGAATTTTCAACATAGGAAGAAAACAAAAAGACGTGCATAATCTCCATACTGCTATCTATCCATATATCAAGTTTCATAAAAATATTTTCAGTACTTTTTGCGTTATCGTGGGATCAAGTTTTGTGGACGGTGAGTTTTCTGTGAGTGCGGACAGACAGACGGACGGAGGGTAAACCTAGTCCCCTCTGGTTAAACCGGTAGGGGACTAAAAATGTATATTTCAAATATCTG